TTCAAAATAGTATCTACAGTAGTGATTGAAAAAAAAAAAAAAAACAGCTCAGTCGTAAGAACTGGGCCAGCACCCAATGCCACAAAGGATCTTGTCAACCTCTATGTACTTGGCAGCCGACGAAACCCATGGCACCCAATTCCACCCTCCAGACTCTTACCAGCCTTCACAATGACCTTCTGAAAAATACCTCACAAAACCTTTGGGAGGTATTGGATTCTGCTACAAAATCCTGGGTGAGGTTTTTGGTTTATATGTAAAATGATGCTGTAAGCTCCCCATGGCAACCTACAGGTAAAAAGCAATGTGGAATCAAAGTGGTTTTTTTAAGTTTAGGAAACTCTTAGGCACAGCTGCCTGCCTTCCACACAAAAATCACCCACTCTTCTCAGGGGAGGACCTTGCTGGAGACACAAGGACAGTTGAGTGTCCACAGGYCAATCAAAGTATTATAGCAAAATTAGGTGAGGTTTGTAATTAGCCACCATGGTGATGSCTTATATTGTTTCTGCTATGCCACCACTGGGAATTAAATAGAGTGTACCATACATGCCAGTCCAAAAATCAGGTAGGTTTCAGCCATGAGGAACCTGGCTGCCATTTCAACTGGCACTTTAGATGCAGGAGACTCTATCCATCTCCATTACAAATCCTCTGAGCTCATCCTGGCATTACTTTCCCACATTAAGCAAAAGAGTTAACATAAAAAGCCTGCCTAGCTTCAGACATTATCCAGATAAAGAGAAGAAAAGAGAAAATCCCTTGTATTACCTCTCTCAGCTCTCCCCAAACCTTTTCTGACATCTTTGTTCTTTCAGACCTGGCATTTATCTGCAGATATTGTGGAACCCTAATTAAATCTTCACATGAACCTCTGCTACTTCCTGGCAGAGAACACATATTCTTGGTGTGCCGATGGACCTACAGGATTTTCTGCACTTCTCCCTTATGGTGAGTGTTAGGCCTTGCTTGAAAACATCACAACTGTGTACAACACAATATGTTTAAACAGAAATACAAAATTATTCCATTTCTTTCAAAGAATGAAGAGAAACATAAGTGAAAATTATATTCCACAAGCTCATTGGGAAAACAAACTGTGGAAGCACTGGGCAAATAGCAGCGTCTGAGAACAAGGCATGCTTTTGTTTTACTGCTGTCTCAGAAAGGGATAACTGGCAGYGATAGGAGAAGCAGAAAAATTTGTCTTCCAAAATAAAAATCTGCAGTTATCTCTTCCCCCTGGGAATAAAAAAACCATTCTGAAAGTGCAGCTGAATTTTGCATTAAGGGAAGCTGCACACCTAACCTTATCTGATGGAAGCAGCTCAGTGTTCAAAGCCTCAAAGTTGGCAGCGACCACTCGTTCAGCGAGCAAAGGGATGGGAGAGCTGTGAAAACCTTTGCACTCCACAGTTAAAGAGGCAGAAGGCTAAAAAAGCAGATTTCACTGCTCCTCCCTCCCTGCCCCCCAACAATTCTTCAGCTCCTTCAAACCACCAACCGATGCTAAAAGAAGCTGCCAATAAAGAGAGGAGGAATTGCTGCCTTYCCTTCCCAGGCTGACGGCAGAGGCCTGGCCCAGCAGCAGCTGTCCTGGCAGGGGTGCTCTGATGGCCAAACACAACAAAGCCAATTCACTCTAAAATCCCCTTCCACTTGAGCTGTTCTCGTTATTCTCCTCCGATTCTCAGCACTTCTCTCCCTCAGCAGAAGAAATAAACACCCCAGATGGCTGAGAATAAACAGCAAGTTATACATATGCTCCATATAGCCTGACAAAGAGAGTCCAGCCATGCTCAAAGCACAGCATGAGACTCACCCATGCAAAGGTCTTTTACCTCGATCAGGGGATGACCCTGCATGTGGGGAGGAGGAAAGGACTATAAAAGAGGTTTGAGGCCATGAGCAGATACTCTGCAAAATTTTCTCCACCATWATTTTTGAATACTTCCATCATTCCATAAATTCATGTAGTATAGCCATAGGCTCAACTATGCATAGCTATAYGKTWTAGAATCACAGAATGGGTTGGGTTATAAGGGACCTTAAAGATCATCTCATTCCAGCCCATGTCMTGGGCAGGCACACCTTCCACTATCCCAGGTTACTCCAAGTTCCAACCTGGCCTGGAACTCCCAGGGGTGGGGCAGSCACAGCTTCTCTGGGCACCCTGTGCCAGGGCCTCCCCACCCTCACAGGGAAGAATTTCTTCCCAATATCCCATYTAACCCTGCCCTCTGTCAGWTTGACGCCGTTCCCCCTTGTCCTGTCACTCCAGATCCTTGTAAATAGTCTCTCTCATCTTTCCTGCAGGTTCCCTTCAGGCACTGGAAGGCCACAATTAGGTCAYCCMAAGGCCTTCTCTGCTCCAGGCTGAACAATCCCARTTCTCCCAGCCTTTCCTTGYGGGAGACATGCTCGACTGAGCATCACCTTGGCTTTGGGACTGCCCGCCCTCCTGCACTGCAGGAACCTGAGCCAGCCTGTTCCTTCCCACCGCAATGTCAGAGATCTTAAATTTCTTCAGGGCCCAAGAGAGGAAAGCAGGAGGCATTGAGAGCCCACTCAGCTGAGGTGAAAACTCAGAGCTACCAAACTCTGCACAAGTGATGCCCAGTCTTTCTCTGTCTCTTCCCCAGCCAGGGCAACGCAGACCAAAACAAGAGCAGCCATGAAATGTGGAAGGGAGTGAGGGAGTAGCCACAGCAGCCCAGGGAGGCCTTGACTGACCAGTGAAAGCTCGCTCAGAATAACCTTCTAATGGCACCAAAGCTTTACCAAAACCACAATTCAGGCTCCAGGCCGAAAACCGAGCATGYATTTGTGTCTCTAAACCACATCACYYCCYTGCTCACTCCGAGGCACAGGGATGTTTCAGTACTTTGGGAAAAGATGGATCAGGGACAGGGTGGTCTGGAACAAGGGATTCAACTTGGGGGACGCAAAAGCTTTCCTTTATCCATCTCGACATGAGGTCACTCTCTTCTCATGGACAACCACCTGCCCAAAGCCCCCTCTCCCCTGGCCCTCACCTGCCCACTGCACCCTYCACAACCTCACCTAACCCCAGGGCCCCTCACTGAGGCCTCCAGCACACCTGAAACTCAAAAGCCTTCCAGCACCTCCAAGCCTCCACCACCCCTGGAATCTCTGCTCCCCAGAGACTCTCACACACCTCCAGAGCCCCCCGACAGCCCCCAGAGCTGCCCCACCACCTCCAGATCCTCCATCAACCCCCAGTGATCCCCACAACCACCAAACATCTCCACTAAGACAATGAGCCCCTTACCGAGCCCCAATTTCCCCCACGAGCCCTCTCAGACTCTCCATCCAATGCTCCCACACCCCCTCGCAGACCCTCAGACCCCCCAGAGCCCCTCACCGACCCCCAGAATCCATCGCTGCCTCCAGCCCCCCCCGCTGGCCGGAGCCCCCTCTATCTCCCCGAGCTCCCCCGGACCCCTCCGCGCTCCCCAGGCCGCCGTACCGAGGCTCTGCCCCACCGGGGTGCTGAACGGGTTCCCCAGCAGAAACTCCATCTTGGGATGACAACAAACAGCGGCCCGGCGCCCACCCCTCCCGCACCGCGCCCTGACCGACAGCCGCACGCACCAATCACAGCGCGTTCTGACAGSCGTGTCCCGCCTCCCTGCRTYCGATTGGACAGCTGCTGGACGCGCCGCACGACCATTGGYTAAAGMGGGTGTCCATCACTGTCAAGAGAGGAGTTGGTCCCCGCGGTAGTCCCGGTCCTTTCCCCGCCCTCCCTTTGATGGACAGCGGGGRCACAGAGACTGCCRTTCCCCATTGGGCAAGGGTCGAAGCGATCTGTAACATCATTGGGCAAAGGSAACGTCAATCATGCGAGCCCTYYTCCGCCCCGAGGGCACGGTCCCGGCGATGATTGGCTGACACGGATTTCTCGAGCTTTGATTGGTAGACAGCATTCCCACCCACCCCCCGCCCATTGGGCACTGTGTGGGTCACGTGACCGGCCTTAGCAACGCTCCCAGGCTTCCTTAGCGACGGGCGCTGAGGGTGGGAACGGTGAACCGGGAACCGGGAACGGTGAACAGGGAACCGGGAACCGGGAACCGGGAACGGTGAACAGGGAACGGAGCCGACCCAGAGCCCCGCGGACCCGCGGGTGAGACGCCTGAGGGGCCGGGATCTGGGCCTTGGTGGGTCTTGGGAGCGGGAGGCGGCGGCCCCTTCSCACCCACCGGGCAGGGCTGGTTAGAACCGGCATTAACTGAAGAGACGCTGGACAAGTGCTCATCACTGGAAATGTTCAAGGCCCGGTTGGACGAGGCAGGGTGCAACCTGGGATAGTGGAAGGTGTCCCTGCCCATGGCATGGGTGGAAYAAGATGTGCTTTAAGGKCCCTCCCAASCCAAACCRGTCTGTGATTGTACAAGGAAAARGGAAAGRAACTTCTCCAGGGCCTCCTGYTCCTCGGTCTSTACTGAGCACAAACACAGAGAGGATTGGTTTCTTAATGAAATGACACGATGAGAACAGAACTCTCTAAACTYTGACATTTATCATTCCTGTCTTATGCAAAAATAAATCAGAACTTACTCTGTAATTATAAACATCTTACACAAGCAAAAGATTGATGATTCAAATCCTTCACACTGCTTCACTAACCCTGCACAGTTCCAGAAAGACAAATACTCTCATCGCCTCCAGGACAACATCAGGGATATTTAAATTTCCATTAAGAATTTCTTTACCAAAAGGGCTGTCAAGYGCTGAAACAGACTGACAAGAGAAGCTGAGGATTCTCCATCCCTTCAAGTGTCCAAGGCCAGGTTGGACGGGACTTGGAGTAACCTGAGATAGTGGAAGGTGTCCCTGCCCAGGGACTACATAGGCTTTAAGGTCCCTTCCAAACCAAACCATTCTGGGATTCTATGATTCTATGACTGCTGGAAATAGAAACCAGGGAGTGATTTAATTTATTTTTCTTTTCTGTCCTTTAAGGCTGATTCTGTCTCAAAATGAGTCAATTTCTCAGTAACGTTGAGCCAAACATTATTGATGATGAAATGCTTCAGAAAGCCATTGAAGAGAAGTGTCCAGAGGACATGGAACATCTTATGAAATGGGAAAATATTGATTTTAAGGCTGTGAAGGAGCTACAGCTTGGTTTTAAAAGTGAGTGTCAGGCATTAAATGAGTAACTGGCAATTAAGTAATCATTATTAGCTTGGATTTATTATGTGAAAATTAATGTCTGGACTTAAACTTTTGCTCATACCTGTACAAAGCAGCTTCATCAGAGCRAGCCGGATGCTTTCCCTGATGGGTAACTTCAAAGCTGCTTCACTTCCCACTCTTATTATCACTGCTCTTCTCATTTAACATTTATATTGTGGTGACACCTACAGGCCACAGTCCTATTGGGCCCCTCTGGTGATTATATGAGAGCTGTTTGGGAGATTATGGTTATTACAATCCAATCCGATGGCATCCTCTGGTCATCCATAGCATTACCACAKCTTGCCTCTTACTGTCAAACCTGTCATAAAYTTGCACTCAAAAAATGAAAAGGAGAAACGTTTGGGTCAGCATTTGAGTATTTGGGGGAGGGGGGTAATTTCATAGGCAAAAATMTACTGTTGATTATTCTTTGTGTGCTCCAGTGTGTATGAGCTGATTTTCYTAGAAAAGAGTCCCTTGACTTGATCCTGCACTTATTTGTTTTCTAATAGAAAATACAGAACTGTGTGAATATTTTGTGCATGCAATTCCTTGGTTTATTGTGCCCTCACTAAATGAGGATAGCAGGACAGCATCTGAAATCTTCTGGGAAACGATTGCAGGGAAAAGAGAAATGGGAGCGAGARTGTTCTGTATTTYCTGTCACCTTGGTCCTGATGCTTTGCTGTGGTGACTAACGGCCTGCCCTTGTGATTCTGCTTTTGGAGGAAACTAAATTCAGAGATATTGATTAGTTCTAAACTGCAGCCTTCACAGAAATAGTAGATTCCAACTTCCTCTCCTGTGATGAGAATCCCGGGAGCAGGAGAGTCATTTACAGAAGCAGGAGCTGGGCACTGCTAGACTGCAAATGCAGAGAGAAGCAGAGTCTCATCCCAAACCTCCTGCTTGGAGCTGGAGAGGAAAATGAAGGTCAAGGCCTCCTAGCAGTGGATTCATAAAGCCACTGGAGTGCAGGGCCGTAGTCAGCATCCCCTGCGCGCCTTGTTGGCCTCGCTGATGAGCAGCGTGCGCTGGTGCAGGACACTGAGGTTAAGTGGGCTGTTTCATTGAAATCTCGTSCAGCCAGTGCACCTCTGAGCTCTCCAGGGCACTCATCACATGCTGAAAATCCTTTTGGAGGCAAGACTGGATGTGTTTTCTTTGTGCAAGGCAATGTGTGTCTGCTAAAACAAACCTGTCACACGTGAAAAGCAATTTTATTTTCTTTCTTTTTTATTTTTTCCCTGTGGCTTTAGCTATCCTGCAGATTGATAATCTGTGGCCATTTGAGCATCTGACTAAACTTCAGCTGGATAACAATGTCATTGAGAAGATAGAAGGCTTGGAGAGTCTGGTTCACCTTGTATGGCTTGGTGAGACACAGGCAGAGGGGGTCGGATGCCTTCACAGGTGCAAAGCAATCTGCGATAAACCAGGATGTCACCTTCCTTCTCAAACACGACTGATAGGAGCTTTCCCAGGGAAGGCTGTCAGCTGTCTGTGTGTCTCCTTATTTGACTGTCAAATGTCAAAATGCCTGAGTATCAGAGCTGCAAAACAATCCTTCAAATGTTTAAAAACTGGGTTTAATATGTTTGGTGTGGCAGGAACAGGAAGCTGAAGTTTCAATGTTGTTTCCAAGGTTTGTATTGTGTTTAGGGGTGACTTTCAGGAATATTTATGGAAACACCTCTGTGATTTAGAAGCATGTGTTCTGTTTTCAAAGCTGCTGCAGGCATTCCAGAGCCTRCAACCCACCATTTTAACCCTAAATCCTTATGGGCTTGGTGTCACTGCTGTCCCAAGGAGTGCCCATCCTTGTAGCCTTATGCAACTCCTTGCAGCTACACAGATGCACACCTTGGAATTGCAGCCACTTTACTAGTTGGAATTCTAAGTAATTGAGCCCTCAGCATGCAGGGCTTCAGCTGGTAAGCACATTGGGAAATGTCTAATGGGTTCTTCCGCCCAGTTGTCTGCGCTGTTCTGCTCCACAGATGACTGATGCATTTGTGAATCACCAACAGATCACCACAGTGTAAGCAGACTGTCTTGAAGCACACTCACATGTTTTATTTGCCCAAAGGCTGCAGTGTCTCAGCCACCCAAGAGACCTCATAAACTGTTTTTGGACTCTTGGCTCACTCAGTACTAGCCCAAGGGCAAACTCTGCCCTTAGTCATGGTGAGTGTAGGTGTTAGGAGAGATGTTCTGGCAAGAGAAGAGGACATCTCAATGAGAGAAACAGCTGAAGTGAGCCTTTGCATAACTCCTCTGACATGGAACTGCCATATCTTGGTCCTGTAGGAATGACCACGGCTGTGGCACTGGTGTGGCAGGCCAGAGTCTGCCAGAAACAAGACAGCATCAGATTTGTCACAGAAATTCCCCTCTTARGGCATTTCCTCACCTCTTGTTTTGTGTTTCCCCATAAGGCAGAAGTCCCTTTCAGGCTGTGTATGTGGACTCTGCATGGAATAACTTCAGCTGTTCCTCTCACTTAAAAGTTGCATGGACAGTTGCAAGAAGGAAATAGGGACGAAGGATGATTTAATGCCAAGATTTTCCTGTGGGACACTGACCACCCCTGAGAAAAATCTGTACATAATCTCCTACCTCCAAAACTAGGGTAAAAGGGCTTAATCAGGGTGTTCTGCTAGAAATAATTTAATGTTTGATTTCTAAACTCTTCCCCAGACCTGTCCTTCAACAATATTGAAGTAATTGAGGGCCTGGATACCCTTGTCAAACTGCAGGACCTCAGTCTCTACAGTAACAGAGTGTCTAAAATTGAGAACATGGATACATTGCAAGAGCTGCAGATTTTCTCCATAGGGAAGAATAAYCTGACCATTCTGGAAGATGTGAGTGTTCCCTGGCTTTGCAAATATTCCCTGTTGAAGAATCAGATATTCTAAAACTCACATTTCCCACTGCGTCCAAGCCCCTCCTTACGGGATAAAATTCTCCTTGATGATTTCTAAGTAGTATGAGCTATGATTCTGGTCCTCTGTCCTGGTGCTAAGTGCTTACTGCAGCCATTTCTCTTTTAGATTATTGACTCAAGGGAGCCCAGTTCTGTTACTGCTCTCAGCCATGGCAAAATTCCTATTGGCTCCCATGAAAGCTAGCAAAGGAATAAGTGGCTACACACGAGAAAAAGAGGGAGACAAGGATTTATTTAGGGCTCTTTTGAGGGCATATTACCAATTTAAAACCTATGATTTGTCCACTTCATCTGCCTTATCTCTCCCCCTATTTTCTAGATATTCTAGATGAATATGAATTTAAGTATTTCCTTTCCCAAAACCATTAGAAACTCATAGTTGAATGTTGCGTGAATTTGGCAGCAGAGTAGAATACGTATTGCAACTTAACTGTAATGAAAGCACTAAATTCCCCCAGCACTGGGAAGTACAGAGTTCTTTCCCTTTGGCACAGGTTATCTATTTAAGGAAACTCAAAAACCTACGGACACTGAACCTCAGCGGGAATCCTTTCTGCAACCACGAGGACTACACACTGTTTGTTGTTGCTCATCTTCCAAGCCTCGTGTACTTGGACTTCAAACTCGTGAGAGAGTCCACGGTGAGATTTCTGCATTCCCTGATCGGGAAATCAGGCAACAGCATCTTACAGAGCTTTGCTTTGTTGGTGTGCCAGCAATATTCCAGCACTGGGGGCAGGTTCCCTGCAGAAATCAGGCTCACAGAAACACACARTGTTTATTCTGCTTCCACGTAACAGCTGTGAACCTGTAGGCCAAATTCTGTCAAATCTGACAGAGAGGCAGAGGTGTCAGAAGCATGATGTCTTCACAGATTTTGTGAAAATCAGCAGCTGTGTGTGGGAGAGGGGCCCGGTTTATGTTGCCACAGAGAGCCTGCACTGTGAGCACAAGTCTTCTTAGAGAATCTCAGAGGAAATCAGTCTTGAGATGTGGATCCAGGGGGAAGGAGCCTTGGTGGTCCTGCTGCTCACAGAGTGATTTGTTTCAGTAGCAGACTGACAGACTGTGCAGGAAAGCAGGTGCCTGGATGCACTTCCCACCCTTGATTTCTGAGAACAAGACAGTTCATCCTCACCAGTAACCTGTGGARCTGCTGTATCATCCCAGTGCTCAGTGGAACAAAGATGAGGTTTTTGTTCAGAGTGTTTTCTTTAAGTAACCAAAGAACATGATTAATTGTAAATTTGCTTGGCACAGAGCAGGAGCTGTACTTAGAATATACATTGCTCTTACCATAGGACTGGAAGGGCTTTCCAGGTCATGAAATGCAGTCCTTGCTCACCAGGGACATCAGTGAATTGCATACTTAAATTTGTCAAGCTTCAGTTTCAAGCTAATGAGGTTCTTGCCCCTGGTACTACCTTGCCATCCACTCCTCCAAAGAGCCTTCTCCTCCCTAGAAAATGTATTAACCTCRCTGACTGATCAAATTGGAGCTCAAATTCTAGAAATCAAAATAGAGCTTCCTGCTAAAAGGGGAAAAAACCCAACTCTAAATATGAGAAAATGGAGAGCGAAAAGCTTCCTGGGACTGAATTATCTCAAATGCATTGAATGCAGAAACAGAGTAATATGGCAGCAAAAAATGGGATGAGGATTAGATTACAAATTTCCTAAGCAGTTTAATAAAAAGCCCATGAAGAAATGGAGATGCAGATGCCACTCTGGTGCACATTCTAGAAAGATCAGTTTCTTGTGCCCAGACTTGTTCAGCAATGCTGCATAATCTAATACAAACATTTTATTTCTTTTTCTCAGAGAGAAGCTGCAGCTTTCAAGTATCAAGATCTTACTAAGCCATTGGAAGAAGAGGAGGGTCAGGTCTTTGCTCTGCAGGAGATAGAAGAAGCAAAGCAGAAAGAGCTGGAGTACCACCAGGTAAGTTTTCTTTRGCTGGTTGTGTATTGTCTCAGGAGAAAGAAGCACAACACATATTGACTTGTCTTTTACTTACTTGAAGATTTAATGAGAGGTTAACATCAACTCGGCTGAAACTAAGGCTCAGATTAATCTCAGTGATCTCTGAAACTTATCTTTTGGAAGAAAACAGGAGCTGCTGTGAAATACACGTGACATGGGGAAACATAATTCTTTGGGCTGAACAATGAAAGTACCGATAGAGACCCTGCAAAGCTAAATAGTAAATCATACCCAGGGAGCTTATCAGCCTGACGTGAGATTAAGAAAATTACAGGTCTGAGAGAAATGTTAACATTTTCATGGTGAAGCAAGTGKTTTTTTCTCCTTCACACTAAGTTAAGCTTTTCATTAGTTTTATGATTAAACTTTTAAGGACTTTTGGAGATCACTGTAGTCCTGTGACCAGACTACAGGCAAGATGAGGTGAAATGATGCTTTCATTTGTGTCCTGGCTCCATATTCCAGACCTCTAGAAGATCAGAGTGGCTGAAGTTTAGTGGTTTAGTGACAGGGAGGACACCAAACTCTTCCCTTTGTCCCTCCCCAAAGTTCACCAACTCCTTATTTGAAAGGCTTAATAGCCTTGCAATAAGTGTTTGTATGTGATAATGTCTTATCCTGGCAACTGGCACAGGTTGCCCAGAGAAGCTGTGGCTGCCCCAAGGATTCCAGGCCAGATCTGACAGGGCCTGGAGCAACCTGGTCTAATGGGAGGTGTCCCTGCCCATGGCAGGGGGGTGGAATGAGATGATCTTTAAGGTCCCTTCCAACCCAAGCCATTTTATGATTCCATGATCTGGTATGATATTTAATAGTGTTTTCTATCCTTGGGCTATACAGAGTTGTAGCAGAAAACCCCTGCACTGGGTTTCACTCCAGTTGGTGTTCTGCTGTGCTCATATAACTGTGCCTGCACCAATGCTCTGCTGCTGGTCAGGTGTTTATAGCAAAGACACATCCTGAGGACTGGCAGCAGATTGGCATCTTCATTTTACTTATTTTGCTCTGTTTCTCTTCAAAGACAGCCTTTGTTGAGTACCTGAATGGATCATTCCTRTTTGACAGTCTGTATGAGGAGGATACAGAAATTGCCAAACTGGCTCCCCTCCCTGGAGTGGAAGAGCTGCTGGAGTCATATCCTTCCTGGGTTTGGAATACCTACAGCTAAAAGGTAATGCCTTGAGTTRAGAAGGAAGTGCATCCACAGGGACTCTTCATCTGTTGCTTTTGTCCAGAGCTGAAAGCTACATTGATCTAAGATCTGAGACAGTCTGTGTTCAATTTTGGAACGGTACCAAAAATTACGCTGCAAGGCTGTGAGACCACTGACAGCTTTAAGGCTTGATATCTTGTGAAATATGAGGGCTCCAAACAAATGGTTTATATTACTGGCAAGCTGGCCAGCCCAGCTTGAAACATCCCATTTGTAAAACTACTCATTGCTATCCCCAACAGGTCATGAGATCCTAGCATTTTAAATTCTCACTCTTGTAATTACCATATTCCTTTTCCTTCCATTGAATCAAACACGATTTCTGTAGCCTCCTCGTCTGACCCTTCAAGAATCAAGACTTTGTACTTTCTTTAAGTCTGGAATCCACTTAAAGTTTAAAATGAGCTGGAAGATAAATCTCTGTCAGTTAGATTGTAAGAGCACAGCCGCTAAAATCGTGTTGAAATTGAAGTGGTAGGAGATAGGAACAGACTAATCAGAACGATACAAGTCGCGTATCTCACAACCTGCCAGAACTGGCAACGTGAAGTTTCCAGGCCAGCACATTTTTCTGATCATTGCTCCTACACGGGGGAGCAGAAAGCAGACGCGTTCCTTTTCTTTTTTTCTTTTCTCATTCAGATTAATAGAGTATTGTCAAGGCCAGTAACTTGACCTTCCTTAAAATTGCATTACACTCTTGGGGAAAAATGCATCACAGCTTAACTACAATAGACTCCAGAAACAATTCCATTGCCAAGATAATAGCAGAAGAAAAATTGACGTTATTTTTGTGATGCTACCAAGTCAGTAGTTTATTCTGTGCTCTGGCTGTGGGCTCCAGAGCTGTATTTATTAACTACACAGGCACTGTATTCWCACTTGTGAAGACAGATAGGGTTGTAGGCTTTGTTCTGCTGCTATGTCAGAAGAGTCAGGCAAGTGAATGTACTTTCTTCTCTTCCTCAAGGCTTTTTCCCCCTCAGGTKGCCACAGCTTTCTCCATACCCTTAAGGCAGCAAAATCCAATGCATGAAATGTGAATGGGTGACCCAGYCCTGCCCCAGACAGAATATTTGGCAGCCTGCTCCCAGCAAGAACCACAGACTTTACATAGAAGTCACTTGCAGCTCTTGTTTCTCAGATTTGCAGAGGTAGAAGGAACATAATGTGTTGCTCCACTGAACAAGTAAAAAACCTTGACTCTTCTGTCACATACAAGGAGGAGTTTGTCTCAGTTTGTCGGAACCTATATAACTACGGACTGGAACAGCTTGAAAAACGAGAAGCTGAAGTCTCTAATTTCTACAAAAGATTCCATGAAATTCTGACAGTCAACCAGCAGGAAAGCAGGAGAATAATCTCAGACTTTGAGACTCGGAACCAAAGGGTAATGTTCTATTTTTGTTTGTTTGATACATGATTTCTCTACATCATATACCAGCTTTTAATTGCGCTGAAAATGGGGTAACTCCATTAAAATTAGGAAAATTATTCTGCTGTGATGGGAAGCTATACTTGATCCCTAATGGCARAATCACAGAGTGGTGGAAGTGAGGGAAGTGAGGGTGGTAGGGATCTCTGGAAGTTGTCTGGTCCTGGTCAAGTAGGACCACGTACAGCAGGCTGCCCAGGACTATGAATATGTCCAAGGATGGAGACTCCACAGCCTCTCTGGGAAACCTCTTCCAGTGATCAGTCACTGATATTTTCTTATGTTTCTTATGTTTCTTACAACACCAATTTATATGAAGAAAATTTGTTTTGTTATATATGTTCTATGTTATGTTATGTTATGTTATGTTTTATGTTATGTTATGTTATATATAATGTTACTAACATAATGTTACAAGTTTTTTAATACTTTATGTAGAAAAAGAATTTGGGAATTGAAATTTCACCTTTTGGGCAAGTTACTCCAATCCAGAAAAGCTACCAATATTTAAGAATATGGAAATACTCAACCCCTCTTTCAGTTTAAATGGTTTTTTTGTAAATTTAACTTATAGTATCTACAGAAGTTAATTTATAAAATCAAGAGAGAGAGATATTTACTGCTACTCCTCTTCTTTTTGAAGCCTCCAATAGCTCTTCCTTCATTGAAAAATCGGGAAGAAAAGGAAAGAAATTGCAGGGTATTCCGTTTATTTTGAAGCAATTTTCTGCTTCAGTTCATTTTGTCAACAACAGCTCAAAGAACTATAAGCAAAAAAAAATTAGATAAAGTTATTTTAATGTATTTCCAGTCTTTTAGAGCAGAAACCTTCTCCTTTCATTCTGCTCAACTACAGCCACCCATTGCAGCTGCTCAGGGAGTAGCTTCTAGCGAGATCCCTTTCTAACCATGTATAATAGATGGATCATGATTTTGTTTCCACAGAAAAAAATAAGGGAGGGCTAAAGCCTGGTAACACTGTCAGCTGAAAGAGCAAGTCCCTGACAACTGACACCAGCAGAGTCACGAGCGCTGGCTCCTGCTGGAAACCAGGTCACTTTTTTATTTCAGTGCCTGTCACAGGCTGACAGCTGCTGAGTCAYTCTGCTCCTGGGGCCTCGAACCTTGCTGATTCATGCTGGAAAACTGAATCCAGCAGTTCTGGCTGGGACACGAGCTGGCAGCACGACCAGAGTCACRGAATCRCAGARTGGTTTGGGTTGGAAGRGTCCTTAAAGGTCATCTCATTCCAACCAAAAGTTTGACRTGAAGATTCAGTCACCTTTCATTTGAATTCTCACTGTATCATCCATAAAAAAGCCCCTAAAACAGCAAAACAAACCCTCTGAAACCTACAAAAACAAAGAAACAACAACAACAAAACTCAAAGGAACATGGCTGTGGCCAGATTTTGCCCTATCACTTCTCTCTGACCTACAGGCTCAGCTATGGATTAGGCTGCAAGGGTATGGAGTGACAACAAGGGGGAATAGCCTTAAGATGAAGGAGGGCTTAGATGGGATATTAGGAAGAAATTCGATTCAATATTAGGAAGAAATTTCATTCAATATTAGGAAGAAATTGTTCCCTGTGAGGGTGGAGAGGCCCTGGCACAGGCTGCCCAGAGAAGCCGTGGTTGCCCCATCCCTGGAAGTGTCCAAGGCCAGGCTGGATGGGGCTTGGAGCAACCTGATCTAGTGGAAGGTATCCCTGCTCATGGTAGGGGGTGGAATGGAATAATCTTTAAGGTCTTTTTCAACCCAAACTCTTCTGGGGTTCTAGTATTCTCTAAACAGGATGCAGCGGTCAGCATGCTGGTTTTTGTATAAATATTAGAGGAGTTGGTATCAAAACTGAACACAGTGTTTTAACAGCATTTCCCCATAATTTAAAATTGCTGGAGGAGTTCAAAAGGCACAGGGGCCCCAGCAGACTGCAGTCTGTGAGCTGTTCTTAAGGCTGTTTGTCTGCCTGTAATCCTTTCATGTAAACTTGGGTAAACCTGTAAAATCACTGTGCTCTCTGAAGTTGGTTATGGAGGATTAAAGGCCTTGAACTTTGAAGTTATTGCTCCCAGAGGTGCAGCTTGAATGGCTCTGGAGCCTTTTGAGCCTCCTAACTTGTTTACATTAGAGAAGATGACACCTTGCTCTCCTTCCCCCTTTTACCACTGCAAAATTTGGGTAATCCACCCCATTTCCAGACACAAGCCTTGGCAGGAGTTTTCAACAGAATTCTTTACTTCAGCCTCTTCCTTTCCTTCTCAGAAGAAGTAAATTAGACATAATAAAACATATATTTTTTCTCCTTTTTTAACAATTGATTGTTAACTCATTTTAAACAGACTCGAAAACAACACCTTCAGCACAAGAGGATTTTTTTTCTTTTTATCCAAGAAAACATAAATCTTKCCTGATACAAAAGTGACGCCAATACATAATTCTGAAGGGCAATAAATCCTTGCTGTAAGAGGAAGGCAGGCAATGATAGGTATTCTATATCCAGAATGCTAAATCCTGACCCTACTGGAAGTCAGTCAAGATTCTCCTTGGCAAGAAGTTGATCAGGATTTAGGCCTGYGTTTCTTTCTCTGAAGCAATTGTTAATTTCTTCTTCATAGCCAGCAATGTCAAGAATAAAATATTATATTCTTTTTTTTTTGCTCGAAATGAAGGAGAACCAAAGTTGGAAGCATAGAAGGGGCAACGTCTTCTGCTGCATGAAGGATGAGGAAGAGTTTTCCCAATCCCCCTGCAGCAGCAAACCTCAGCACTGTTGACTACCCAGTATGTAAATCTTGAGACTTCCCTGAATCATCACATTTCATTTCAGCTAATCAGCAGCAGGAACTCTTCTCACATATGTAACGAGTTAATTAAATTGCAATGGAGTGCTGAACACAAACCATAAGTAATATATGTATCTCTCTGTTTAGAGGCTGGATGAGATTCATCACGCCAGGAGTCGTGATATCGCTGCGTCTAAACGAGCCCAGGGCAAGGAGGACATCCTTCAGCTGTGGGATGCACTCATGACCTTGGAAGTGCTGATATCCAACGACCTGGAGGTGAGAGCCAAGACACAGCACCTGGGATACCACACAGCCACACAGAACACRCAGAACGTGGTGGGATCACTTTTCTGTCGCTGCACCCCTGTGCAGCAGCTCACTGACAAAAAGTGGGGCACAGGGCTTCCACTCAGGAAAATGTTTTGTCTCCATCTTATTCTTTCTCTGCTCCAAGTTGATGTGGGTGAGTGAGATCAGGCCCTGCACATCAATACCTTACAACAGATTTCTATTTCTCAGAGCAGAACACAGAATGGCCTTCACATCTATGCAAGTTGATTTCCCACACTTTGGAGAAAGGGAGGTTGTGCACTCATTTTATAGGTCTGCACAAGTCACTGCATAGCATTTGGGATTCTAGAGGTGTCATTCTTTGAAGCTGATCTTTGCCTATAAGATTACACACATTGCTGCTCGGCTTACTGCATTTGCTTGCATAATAGCWGCCTTTTCCTCCCCAGACTTTTCCTCAAAAACTAGGGCGGGCTGCTGATGTGCATCTTCATCAAAGGAAAAAAGCCAAAATAATCTGTTTAAAATGAGCCAGCAGGAGCCGTGGCCTGTGTGCAGCAGTTTAGTTTTGTGAGCATGGATGGCAGAAAGTAGCAGCACAAAATAGATCCTGACTGCATCAAGATTGTGCCTTTTTAGTGTTTTCTGAGTGGGCCCTCACATATCTGCAGTCACTGATGGGATGAGCAGAAACATTTCCCCCTGTGTGCCCTGCTGGATTTGCAGGATTTGGGCACCAAAACATTTAAGTGCAACACTTCATAGACCCTCCATCAGTCATTTCTGAGAGAGGAAATCAGCAGAAGCAATTTTAATTTCTGAGGACTAAACCAAAAGCTGCAGTAAAGCCCAGGCAGGGCTTRTGCTTCTGACAATAGGCTCTTGATACAGCCAAGGAGGCTCAGCACGGCAGGGTATGGGAATACAGCCCTCTTCAAACAGGCATTGCTTAGGTGAGGGTAACAATGGATCACCTGGCTTACTCCAGGTACTGGGTAAAGGTGGTATTCAGTCAACTTCCCTACAATAAACTGATTCTGATCTTCTGTCCCTGAAGAAGGGAAAAAAATCTTGCAGCACTTTGAAAACACTTTAAATGCTCGAGGCAGCTCAGTTTCTGACTGTGCTAATAACAGCAGTGAGTCCAAATTACAATAAATTGTAGATTCCTCCTAGACTCCCTGACTCCCTGTTATGTTTATGCAAGTTTTCATTGTGATATTTCCTCTTTTTCCCCTCTGTTAAGGACCTACTACAGAATTTCAAAAGAAGCATTGATGTCATGGCATCAACATTCATGGAAAACATTAAAGGGATATATCCTTTTCACAGTATGTTGGCCTGGACCTCCCAGTCATGTACCTACACCTCACCTATAAATCCAAAAATGAGCCACCAATTAAAAACCTTTGTTTTTTCAATTTTAATCAACAGAAAATCCCAGCTTTGAGGAGTGGTCATTTAAGGTACCCAGCTTCTTCATGTGGAGACTCTGGAGAGCACAGAAATATCTAAATTCTAYTGTGCTGAAAGTAGATTCTGCAGAATCCCACTGTGCAGACACTCAGTCCCAGTCACAGGAGGTCATTTAATCTCCACAGATGAGTGGTGTGGTCAGATTTTTCCTTAACCACACTCTTTACGATGAACCARTGCCGGGACCTGGAAAACCAACACCATGAAAAGCTGATGGAGATCACCATCACCACCCTGGAGAAAGCAGACAAGGCTAGGCTCATAGAGGATTTGCCAGATGATATGATAAAGGTAAGGGCACCAAAACAATTCATCTCTGTGGGGGAGTCAGCAAGAAAATGAGGCCACAGCCTCTTGTCTGAAGGGACAGCATTTCCAGGAGGCTCAGTGCTGCCAGAGCCTTACCTGAACCACAGCTTAACCTCCCTCCTRCAGGGTCCAGCCACTTGGCTAAACTGTGGTGTCTCTGGACATCTCCACTGACTAGGACAGGGGAGAACTGCACTGCAGGTTTCCCTGGGCACTGCCAGAGCTGGTGGCAGCAGCCCAGGAGAGGTGCTGAGGAAGTCTCCATCCTGCCTCCAGTACAACTCACTGCTCTGGCTGATTTCCAGGCACTCAGGCAGCATCTTTGCTGCATTCACTCACAGCTGGTTTTGTTCAGATTCCCCCTGCTCCCTCAGCAGAATTCCAACACCGCTCTAAATTTCTTGCACCAGGGCTCTGTTTGCTTCAGTGATTTAAAAATCCCTTCCTGGAGCTCCTGAGCCCATGAKCTGATCTGGAGGCAGGATGTGGCACTTTAAAGGGAGCCTTCCACTGAGCCYTTGGTCTTGCTGTGCCAGTAGAGATCCCAGGAGCCTTTCCAAAAGCCCCAAAATTGCTGCAGTGCTCCACTCAGCAACGCTGCTGCCCTTTTTGCCTCCATTATTCCTTCATTTAGTGGCTAAATTACTTGAATTTGCATTAGCTGTGGTTTTGCTCTGTCCAGATTATCCCAGCCCCCTGTCACTCCAGGTAATCAAGAACTGACAGACACAAAGCAGACCCCTGAGCCCCGGGGGGAGCTCCTGCTTTATGGTCTGTGCAGATGGTGGCGGTTCCGCACCGCTGCCACGCACCCATTTTGCTTCRCTGCCATCCATTCCCATGGAGAAGGGAATTCATTTGTCCAACAGCTGCACTTGGCTGCAGAAGGAGAGTCATTATGGGTTAGCAAAGCCACCCTCTATTTAGAGCCATGAGGGAAGTCACTGCTTCCATTAGAAGCTGGGACTCTCCAAAAATGAAGATTAACAGCCAGTGCCAACAGCGCAGGAATCCCTTCCAAGTGTGATTTTCCATTTCCAGGCGTGCTAGAGCATATACAGCCTTGCTTCAACACCAGCTGCACAGCAGCCCTGCCTGCACAGAACTGCCCTGCCCTGCTCCAGCATGTGAGGTCGAGGGTGCTGCCTCAGTTTCCCTATCTGTACTAGGGATAATACCCCATTACGCCATAGCGGGGCCAAGGGTAAAGCACCAGATCCATCCTGATGAGTAGGGAATTGCCAGGTTGAGGCAGAAGGCTGATTTCTCCCTCTGAGCACTGCTGTGCTGCTCATTCCTTGTGTGCCCACCCCCTCCTCTCATCTGGTCATGTTACCTCCCAGCTCCTCGATGAGAAAGACACCCTTGTCAACGGCATGAACATGTCCCACGATGTCCGCCTGCGGAAGATTGGTAAGCGAGAGTGTGACATGCTCTGCAACACCTACCAGTGGCAGATATCAGTGACAGAGAAGGTAAGAGACCCTCACACTCAGGGGGATGGGGCACAGACAGGTCTGGCCCAAGTGGCACAGACACTGTGAGGAGAGATGCTCTCGCACCTTTGCTGGAGCCCTTGGTGCCCCAGGGACCTTGACACGCCTGCAGATTTCACTGTTTGGTTTCAATCTGTCCAGGCTTTCCAAACCGAGAGCGACAGAAACCGCGCCTGTATTGGAAAGGTGATTTGCTTCATCGATGCTCTCCAGAAGGAGCTGGATAACACAGGGMTCCGGGAGCCTAAAGAATAGGGCTGGGCAGCTGCCTCAGCTGGGGCACACAGGACAGCCCCCAGCAGCCTCTCTRTGCCCAGGCTGCCTGGGACATTTCAGACCAAATGCACATTTCTTCCATCCTACCAYAAACTGCAAATAAAAGCTACTCCTTGACTCTGGAAAAGCATCCATAGCCCTGTCTCTTCCATCACATTGGCACGAAGCCCGTGCAGACAACTCAGACCTGGTCACAAGGGGTTATGGATCAGCTGTGAGCTGATTGAACTAAATCATCATAGCATATCATGCCTGAAAGCTTCGGTACCTGCGAGCACAGTGGCAGGAACCTGTGAGCYGCTGGCACGAGGCAGCAGCTCGGGAGAGCAGCACTCTCCATCAAACCACCCCCGAGATAACAGCAGGTTTCCAGCTCAGCAAGCACAAGGCTGGCGGGGGCTCCGTATGCCTGGGAGCCTCATCTTCTCACCCCCTCTCACAAGCGGCTTTCTGCAGCGTGAGCAGAGCAGCCCCCAGCCAGCAGGAAGGGAAATCAATGGTTCCAYAGGAGCTCACGCGCCGCCGCTCGCGACAGCCAAGCGTGGAGTCATTAATTCCCCTCCTTGCTCGGTGACAGCCGCTGCCACGCTCGCTTGTGGGCAGCTTCTGAGGAATGGTGCTGGCCAGGGCGGTGCTGCTCCAGGCAAGCAGCAAGGAGAAGGTGGGAAGGTTAAACGAGAGGGTGGCTGTGTATGCATGCCAGAGATAGAGCAGGTCTCAGAAAAGCCCGTGGCTGGTGCTGCCTGTCAAACAGATTCAGCTCATGATGCTCTGTGCTTCTGAAGATGGCTGGAGCCCAGGTTTTATCTCTCCTGTTCCAGAACTACACAGTTGTCTCCTTGCTACCTCCTCAGCTGCACGGAGTGGTTCACACAGTAGTTAGTGCCTGCTCTGGTCTGTGATTTTTAATGCCTGGAGCCATCCCAACACTTGCCCAGGACCCGGCAGCTCAGGACCCACCCCTCGGTTTGGCGGTTAAAACAAAGACACACAGCTTTCAGTACCTCACAGGGGCGAGTCTTTAATGGAACACAGAGACCCTGGTGTTACAGACAGGCACGCCAAGGGATGAACAACAGATGCAGTGGAGTCTGTTTTCAGATTTCCATAACAAGTGTGTGTCAGGAGCTGGCAGCTATGAAGACATGTGGCATATGCTGGGTATGTCTGTGCCGTGCCCTGCCCAGGAAGCTGTTTCTTCCGTGGGAGCTCCTCTGATGAGTTACAGACACCAGGAAAGGACAGAGCTGCTGGCTTAGGGATTCAGAGGAAGCTCACCTTGACCTTTTCTCCTTGTGTGCTGCACTGCAGTAGGCAATCCAAGTGAGGAGCTGCCCACAAAACCACAGCACATAAGTTGATCCCAGGAAAAATGGAATGGCAGGAAGGTGGCTACCATYCACTGGGTCAGGCCAGCAATTCCCAGCTGGACATTTTCTTCCTGTGCCCTGTCCAGCTGCCTCAGTCCTGCAACAGCTTGTGTTTTACAGTCGAGCTCTCTGAGCACAGGTGAACAAAGAGAGTCCCAGCTGCTGTGCGAGCACGCAGCTCACACAAGTCGTAGTCATGGGCCCACTCCACGTTGCCCCAGCGCCGAATCTGAAGGAGAGGAGGAACATGGATTATACTCAAAGCAGCTCAGCAGCTCTCAGCCTCCCCTCTCGTGTTTGTGAAGTACAGGTAACACGCTCCCCCCCACCCCAGGAAATGAGCTGATCCTCGACTGCTGAGGCAGGGATATCTCCAGATGAGGATGTTTCATCTCTCCTGGGTTCTGAGGCAAAGCCTCTTAACAGGAGGATGAAGAGTCCCAACTTCAGCCACTTTTGGGACAGGGAAAGCTTCACACGAAGCAAATTTCCAGCAACCTTGGTATCTTGGTTGGTGAGCTGGATAATCCACAGCAAGAGAAGCCAGCCACAACTTTGCACTTCAGATTAGAGGGGGAGAAAAGCAGCCATCTGGGCTCTGTGAAAAGAAAGTGGCAGCCCTGGGAGCACTCTGGGCTGTTGCGCCCGTGGTGTTGCTCTGCAGCAGCACACTCCAAACGCTCTCAGACAGGGAGACTGGTGGAGTGGAACGTCTCCTGCTATAGCAGGCACTTCCCTTGCCAGTTATTTGTGGTGGGGGATGCATTTGTCATGCTGAGATTATTGCTATTTGAATTATAGGGCTGTTTTGTAACATAATTTACCTGGTATTCTTCCTCCAGGCGAGACARAAGCACGGCTTTCTCTACTGTAATGTGCCTGTCAATCAGGCTCATGGACAGAATCAGTGATTTCAGCTGGGTGATTACAAATTCTATACCTGCAAGGGAATAACCCAAACCAAACAAGATTCATGGCTGTTTTCTGCAGCATTACAGCAGCATCTGCAGACGTTCTGAAGAGACAGGCAGGCTGTGGTACCCCCTCAGGGAGGACCAGTGATCCTCCCACMTGCACCTGGGCACTCAGGTGGTTAACAGCAGGCACAGAGCATCGTGCTGGCCCTGCCACCRCCGTGACAAAGGCTATGCCCTGGACACCCCCTCCTTTTATTCTGCCACAACCTTTCCCTGTGCAAAGGAAAGAGATGCCCATCCAGGCTCAAGCATTCTGTGTCCTTTCGGGTTTCACTGCCTGCTGCTCATTCAGGTCTGGAGCAAAGCAAGCCTCCCTTCATTTCATTATCTTTCAGTGTTATTCAGATGAGTCAGGCAAGATTAAGTGGGATATAAGGATGAAAAAGTGAGGACAGTGCACAGTGTGGGCACTTTGGAGTACTAAGCCTGATTTCTTTTCCTGGTAACAACAAAGCTAGGGATTAAATCATTAGAAGGTTTGGCATTAAAGAAGTTATTTGTGCTAAGGTGGAGCAAACAGCTCATGGGACAGCATAGTCAGATCCTGAACACCAGTGGCAGAATCCCTGCCTGTGACAAATGCAGGTCAGAGCCYGGCCTGCAGACTTAAAACATAAACCTCCACACTCAGAGCAGAAGAAAAACATTACAGTCACTCTCCTGCCTGATGGACAGGAACCACCTCCTCACTGGCCCAGCCTGAGCAGACAGCTCCTGGCCCAGCCCTGCTCACCTTGCAGGGCCCACATGTTGTAGGATGCCAGATGGCTGATGAAGGTGTCCTTGGTGCTGGCTGGAATGTTTGGTCCCAAGATGCTGGTCGAGGAGCCAATTGTCACGTTGTACCTGGAATGGTCACCCAAACCCTTAGCAAACCCCAGGGAAAAGGCCCAGGGCTCACAAAGCAGAGCTCCTGGGCTCAGCAGGGCAGGGCCTAAGCAGCCAGGAGYACTTTGGAGCTCTCACCTTTTCTCAGCCCAGGCAACCACGGGATCCCATTCATTCTTCTGCAGCTCTGCCAAGGCTGGAGGCTCCTCCACACGATAGCTGAACAAATCACATCACAGAACAAAACCACACTGGGTGATCACTCCCAGGCTGGGACACACCTCTGGGAAGGACACTGAACCCACCAGACCCACAGCAAGGGGAACAGGGACCTGCTGTCCACCCAGGCAGCAATCCCCCTGCTCTTCCCAAACTTCAGAGCTTTTCCTTATTCCAGGAAGGACAATTCTACCTTACTACAAAACAGAACAGTGAAGCAGCCAACTGAAAACTGCAGGTGGCTCCAAGCCTTAGGCTGAAGTGAGGTTTAGCAGTGAGAGGAGGGTAAAGATGCCACTGCAACTCTATGTAGGACCAGTCCTCTTTCTCCTTGCCCAGTGCCTCAACTCAGCATTCCCTGCCCCCAGTGTGACCAAAGCCACAMGGGCAGGTGGGGGAAGCCTGTTCCTCTCTCTCCACAGGAACTGTGCAGCTGCCAGTGGAGGCTGGGACAGGAGCCTGGGCAGGAGCAGGCGTGATCCTACAGCCCTCAGGGACTTTAAGGAATGAAGAGCATTTTGGGACTGGTACAAGTAGTCTGAGCTGCCTGCACTGGACAGGAGTGCCAGGGACTGGCTGACAGATCCTCACAGGCCTTTCAAAGCTGTTTTCTCCAAGATCTTCACTTCCTGTAGCTCCCACCCTTGCCCAGCAGGGAGATGTCCAAAACAGAGTTCAACAAAGGACCAGATCTTGTTCTCCTTCTTTGGGTGCAGACTCCAACCAGGTTTGCACACGTAGGACCAATCTAAACTAATTCAAACCCTTGGGCAAAAACCAGCACAGATCAGAGCCACRCCACCACTGGGTTAGAACAGATGTTTTCTCTCACTTTCCCCAACCCTCTTTCCAAAATCCAGCTGGGCCCCCATCCCGTACCAGACTGTGTCTGTCTCCAGGAACTTCACAGCTGCTCGGATCAGCTGTGTTTTGTTTCGCTGCGTGGGATTGTCCAGCGCTGTGTTGCACAGAGTGGTCTGGGGATAAAGGCAGTTGAAACCGCTGTTATTCAAGAATTGGAGAAGCAGCAGCTTCCATGGTGCTATGCCAAGAAGAAGCAGAGGGATTTGTGGCAGATGAGCAACCCAGGGGTGCAGCTAAAGGGGGTGTAGGGACACAATGTGGCTCTTAATAGGTATCTTCTCAAATCTTTCAGAATCCCTGGAAAAGGCCCATTAAATAGCAGGGAATAAGGGCCAYGGACTATTCCAGAGCTCATAATTTCCTTCTGCTCCTCACTATTCCCAATGAATAGTGAGGACTTGAGAGTCCAGCCCCTTCTCAAGCCTCCCCAGTGACACAGATTCCCTTCAGACAGGCACCAGCCAGCCCAGAGAAAGTAATGACTTTCTGCTYATTAGGAGCAGGACAACCTGCTGCCTCCACATTCTGCATTTGGAGACCATTTGAGGTCTCAACATCCAACCCTGCCATGCTCACCAGGTGCATCGTGTAGAACTTGATGGTGTCTTTCTGGGAATCCCATTCCGTTGCCACTGCAATGGCCAAAGCCTCGCTGGGGACAGTGAAGAGCTTGGCCTGGGGYGTTTTCAGCTTTCGGTGATCCAGGTTTATTTCAAAGCCTCCTGGGGAATCAGAGTAGAAATCCTGGGGAATCAAAGAGGAGCAGGCACTAAGGAACAACAGACAACCCCACAGTGGGAGCAGATTCAGAGCTGGAGCTGATGGGAGCACAGGGCCAGGAATACTCAGGTTTCCCACCATCACTTGAATACACTCGGTCTTGGAAGCTGTGGATGAGGAAGGGGCACAGCAGCTGGTGACAAACACGGCACTGACACAGCCTGGGCTGTGAGTGCCATGCTGATGTGGTGTGGGGTGACGACAGCTCTCCCAGGGATCAGCCCCTCCATCCCATCCCAGTAGCCGTACTCACCTTCCCCTTGTGAGATGCTCACGTTCTGGTAGAACCTCTTCCTTTCTGAGGGCAGAAACAGAAGGCAAAGAGAATGTTCAGCTCCTTCCCCTGCTCCCCATCACAGCTCACACAGAGTTTTGGTGCTGTTGAGGTGGCCTRGCCACAGAAATCAAATCCTTGACCCACGGTTTCCAAGCTGTGAGCTCCAGTGTGCGTTCCAATGAGCTCCACTCAGAGGGGAAGTGCCAGGAAACTGATGACAACCACACTGCTGGTGTGCACGGCCAGGGAACAACTGGAACCAGCTACACTCCTGCCTCAATGTGGCAGGGGTGGTTTCCCAACCTCAGGAGTTTCACTTCAGGRTYAACYTTTCCAGATTTTCCCACTACAGTSACATTGGACAAATTAATCCCTGAARGACACTGCTTCCTCCAGCTCAGGAATATACCTGCTCCACCGACAAGGTGAGTCTGAGGAAACTGCAGGTCTCATTTTTGGAGCAGCCTCCTTTGCTACCTCCTACATGCACTCCCAACACCTGAGAGCAGGATTACATTCCAAAGGTTCACATCCCTCCCACAAGGCAAGAAGAATCTACAAGCCATTCCCTTGACAGCAGCAACCAGGCTGTAAATCCCAAACCCATAAATCTGCCTCGTGAAGGGCACTGCAAACAGGTCAGGCTGCAGGTCTGCTGCTATTCCATGCTAAAAAAAACACGTTCCCGCTGGGAAAATGGAAGRATTTGCTCAGGCTCAGCGACCCGCAAGCTTCGGGGCCTCAGAAAATGCCTCAGGCACAGCTCTAAAAACAGATTWAAGTGTGTGTACCCCAGAGGAGCCCCAAGGCTCATCAGTGAYTCCCAAAACCTTGCCATGAGTCACCACGACTCTGCAGCCTCACCTCAGACAAAATGAGATTAATTTTACTGTTCTCAAACCCACAYGATTCCAGCAAAGTCTCAGGATGGGATACAGGGGCCAGAACTCCCCGGCTGAATTCCATTCCCTCAAAACCCCTAAAACCCAACAAAACACAAACCCAAGTGTAACAAACTGGTTCACTTAGGACTCGGCCGTGCTGCCAGTGAACTCTGCCCCCTTCAAACACCCATTCACGCCACGAAAAGAGCGCGGGGGTGGTGGGGCCGAGCTGGCCGTGGGGAGCACGGTCCCCGCGGGGCCATATCGCTCCCAGCCCTGCCGTGGCCCGGGGTGACCGCGGCATGAAGGTCCCCAGGGACGGACGCCTTTCCCAAAGGGGGCTGGAGCGGCCCCGGCGCTCGCTCACCTGCCGGCGGGGCGTAGGCCCGGCGCCCACATGGCCCCACCGGGCCGCTCCCGGCAGCTGCAGGAGGCAGGCGGGGGAGCCGGGTGGGCGGCGAGTGGGCCCACCACAGCCGGCGACATCCTCGCCACATCGCGACAGACGACATAGCAACCTTTCGTCCCCACCGCGCTCAGCGCCGCTCCCTGGGCGCCGCCATCTTGCCGGCGGCCGCAGCCAATCCACATCGCCTGGACAAAAAAACTACATTTCCCAGCAGCACCGCGCGGCAGCGCAGCCAATCAACGCACGGCGCCGCTCCAGCAGCCAATCAGAGCAAAAAATCGCCCCTCTGGCATGCGCGCGAGGGCCAATGGGAGCGCGCGGAGGCGCTGCCGGGAGGCCCCGACCCAGCGGCGGCCTCGGCGTGAGGGAGCGGAGCGGAGCGGGCGGCGTCCCCCGGCCGCGCCCCGGCCCCGGCCACGCTGGCGCCCGGGGATCCCCCCGAGATGCCGGTTCGGAGCGAGAGGCGCCGCGCTGGAGGGGCGGGGGGCTCGGCCTCCTCCCCTGCCACCGGAGCGGCCGCTAGCAGCCTGGTGCCGCCGCCCCCCATCAACACGGCGCAGCCCGGAGTGGCCACTTCGCTGCTGTACAGCGGGGCCAAGTTCCGCGGGCAGCAGCGCAGCAAAGGCAACGCCTACGAGGTGGAGGTCGTCATGCAGGTGAGAGGGGCGGCGGGAAGAGCCGAGCCCTGGCGGGGCGGGAACATCCGTCGCGGCCTGAGGAGAGAAGGGGACCCGCTCGCCTCAGGCCGCGGTGGCCGTTCCCGCCCTGCGGGCCCCTTGCGACAGCACCCGCATCAGCCTATCCCTCGATATTAGGAAAAAATTCTTCACAGAAAAGGTCATTAAACATTGGAACGGGCTGCCCTGGGAGGTGGCGGAGTCACCATCTCTGGAGATGTTTARGGAAAGACTGGACGTGGCACTCAGTGCTGCGGTCTGGTTGACAGGGTGGTGAATCAGTCACAGGATGGGCTGGATGATCTCATAGATCTTTTCCAACCTCAGTGATTCTGTGATGATTCCAGCGCAGCGGGGTATTTTTATGTTCAATTCTCCATGTTCCTGGTGGGATTTGTTGTGKTGGGGACATCCCATGGCTGCTCAGTTCCACTGCATGCTGCCACYTCGCAGGGGCTGGCTGTGCGTTTGTGCTAAAAATGCTGCTTTTGTGCTTAAAAACGCTGCTTGTGTTCCAAAAACGTGGCTGTTTTGCGTGTGTCAGCTGAGAAGAGGGGGCTGCCTGCTCTCCCTATGCTGCATACAGGGAAATGTTACYGTCCTTTGATCACAGGTGGAGAAGATCCATCTTCTCACAGCTGCAGTTTGCACTTCCCTGAATAAGTCGCTGCGTGTTTTGAAAGCGGATCTGGAGATGTCAGGGAAAAACTTGGAAAATCCTGTTTTTAAAGGAGCAGGCAAACCCTTGCCTAGTTTGTGCACAGCAGGAGGAGAGAGGTGCAGCCTGRTAACTCAAAATACAGGTGGCATAAAAGCTTTAGAGTTAGGAGAAAGGCCTCCTGCAAAATGCTGGGGGTGTGGGTGATTCTTCCAGGGATGCTTGTACTTGGAGAACACTGTGAGTCAGATCCCTTCCGGCTGGAGAGAGGGTTTGCTTCCTCCAGTAGACTTCTGGGCAGAGGGTGTTTCCTTGGGAGTGGATCTGAGATGTGGAAGCTGCCAGAGGTGAGCTGGGCACCTGTAAATGATCTTTCCAGGTGTTTCCCAGCATGGAAAAGGGCTGGCAGTGTGAATACTGGGCAATGTGTACCACCTGAAGCTGAAATTATCCTTGGAAGGGTTAGAAACTGCTTTGGATCAAGAATGTACCTTCATGCCTATTTTTATGGTTGGACTTTGCACTCTTTTCTAGCATGTGGATATGGAAAACTCCTATCTCTGTGGATACTTGAAGATTAAAGGCCTTACAGAGGTGAGTGTTAACTGCAAAACAACACAAAAAGRTGTTGTGTAAAGGCTTTTGTTTCTTTCTTGGTGGGATGAGAGAAGCTGCTGCCAGAAATAAGAAGTGGAGGGATTGAGTGTGTTGTAGATTTGATAACGGGGTATCTGCTGGGGAGCAGTGCTGTCTGTAAATGTCAYAGGTGATCGTCCAKTTGGGAGYTTCATGGAATCTTTTAAGGYTGGGAAAGCCCTCTAAGATCATTGAGATCATTAAGATCATCCARCGACTGACCCAGGACACARCCAGRTYCACCACTTCCCTAGGCAACCTGTTCCAAWRTTTAACCACTCYTTTASTGAAATYGTTCCTAATATCCATTCTAAACCTTMTTTTAGCTGCAATTTGAGGRYATTTCTTSTTGTAGTATTGCTTCTTTCCTGG